GTGGAAACAAAAAGAAAATTATATACCCGAAATACAACACACTGGAAACCTCGCCGATGATCTACATGCAGCCCTGCGCGCACTGGGGGTCGAACCCACCCTCGCCAGTAAACCCAACAGGAGCCCACAACAAACACACACATCATCAAATACACAGATGCAAAGAGCTGATGATGCAGCAGAAACATTCAAATATAAAGGACAGAACACGAAACAAGACCCGCAACAAATAACCAAAGACAAACACATACAAACAAACATCAACAAAACAAAGACTACAGAAAAACATAACATCTCCCCTCTTAAACTTCTACACACAAATGGAATGCTAAATGCAGCAACCAGCTGTATAGACACCCTGATAGCCCCCTCAGCTGCTATAAACCCCCTACTACCTTACACCGCCTTCAACGCCTGCGGAGAAGAGATAAAGTGGAGGCCCCTCCCTCTCCCCAAAGGGTCCCCACTGCTGGGCCCCGGCAACACTATCTACCCTCCCTACTTTGGTAACTGCAAGGGGGGGCCCTCGTCCCCTATTTCAGTTGCAGATAGCCCCACCGAGGGCCCCTCGGGCGGCGAAGCGGAAGAGCCTGAGGAGTTCTGGGACCCCAGCAGGCCCTACTGTTCCCCTCCCCGCAGCGCCTNGGCGAAGCGGAAGAGCCTGAGGAGTTCTGGGACCCCAGCAGGCCCTACTGTTCCCCTCCCCGCAGCGCCTCTTGTGAAACATCCGCTTCAAACGAGTAAGCCATTTTTTTTCGTTTTGTGTGTACACAAGCTACGGCTCGCGGGGGACACCAGCCAGTGAATGGGCCTTCGCTGCTTAGTCTTAGGCCCCTTTTATGCAGCAGTTGTAGTCACTACCGAGGCTGTCTCCTAGCTAGAAGAGGCAACGAAGTCCCCGCAACACCAGCAGCTGCTGCTGGTGCTGCTGCGCAGGTGCCCCCGCAGCTTTCTCGCTGGTCTCTTGTGGGGCCCGCGGCTGGTTGGGGCGCCGTCCGGCGGTATTGGTGAGGAAGTAGGTTTATTTTACTGTCAAAAACCTCATTAAATTAACTGAAAATTATATTTATTAAAATACTTTTTATTTTTTCCTTTTTTTTGGCGAAAATTCGAAGTGCTCGCTATCGCTCCGCGGCTGGTCCGGTGGCTCCTGGTTCGTTGGTTGTGTGCGGCGCGGCCACGGCCTCGCATCGGCTGCGGCGTTTTCTCTTTGTTTTTATGGGTTGTTGAGTTAAAAGAGTTATTTGTTTTGTTAAACAAAACAAATAAATGCAAAAGGTATTCAATAAAACCCAGAAAGGTGTATCGACTCTTAGGCTAACGGCACTTGTGCACACTGCGCACCCCCCGCCTACCGTCCGCCGCGCCCCACAGCAGCGGCCTACGGCGTTCGCTTTTGGGTTTTTTTGCTGTTCTTTTGGGGTAGTGTTGAGGATTCCTTCTCTTGTTTGTCTGCTATTGTTGTAGTCTGGTTTTAGTTTGCTTCTCCCCACGGCTTCATCGCCGCACAGCCGTCGGTCCTCAACCGCAGCAGTAGCTAGCCAGGCGCCCGGCAACTGCCTCTCATCCTCTTCCTGCCGCACCGAACAGTAGCACTTCTTCTTCTCGGCATTCTATTGATATTTATTTGCAGCAGAGATTTCTGTGCTGCTCACAGCCCCCAACACCCCTCGTAAGGCAGCACCCACCGGCTTCGATGCTGCAGCCACCGCATCGACCGCGGCCACCGGGCATTAGCTGCTGATGTTTGTTTGCTGCTGCTGTTTGTGGATTTCTGCATGTTCTCTTCTCACTCAATATCTTGTTTAAGAACCAACACGAACTCCGCACACCTAATGTGTGGTTTCCACCGTCGATACACCTCTCGAGTGTAGCGCAGGCTGAGGCAGAGGAGGAGTGTCTACAGTTCCTTTCCTACCATCATATGTTTCTGTATTTCTGTAAATGTGTGTCTATATGTGTGTACTTTGTTTGTGCTGCGTTTGTGTTGCTGCAGGAGAAGCACCTCTTCTGTCTCTACAGCATCATGTTCTGCTGTTCTGCCCCCCGCCGCCGCGCGGTGTCTCGCGAGCCCTCTGGGCTGTATGGGGCGTTCGATGTGCCTGCCCCTGAAGTACCTTTGTCTGCTCTGGGGGACCCGCAGCCTTGGTACTTCTTCGGCAGCAAAAGTACCCCAGTCTGCTGCTACACCTGGGAGGCCCGAAACCCCAAGGGAATTGCTGTGCTGCTGCAGGGGCCTGACGGCTCCTGCTTGCACCACTGGCTCGCAAGGAGAGCTCCGAAGGCAGAGGAAGCAGAACAAGCAGCAGCAGCTGCTGCTGATGCAGAATCTGAAGCTGGAGGTCTCCCCCTAATTCCCGTGCAGGTGGAGGAGCAGCAGCAGCAGCAGCAGCAAGTAGAGGCTGAGGGGAAAGGAGGTGCCTCAGTGCATGAAGAGGTGCGGCCTTCTTGGCTCTGCTGCAGACCTGCCTCTTCTGCTGCTGCAGATTCACGGCTCTCCTCACTACCATCGAAGGCAGCAACAGCAACACCACCCCTCTCGCGCGGAGGGAGCAGCAGCTTTGTTTTTGACGCTGCTGGTGTTGCTTCCTTCTCCTCTATCCCCGATCACCAGAAGAGTCTCATTAAGGAGCATCTAAAGCTGAGCTTCGAGGGCCTAGAAGGGCTCGAGACCCCAAGAGCTACTGTTGCTGCTGCTGCTGCTGCTGCAGCTGCGCAGCGTGAAGCAAGCAAGGAGAGCAATGCGAAAACCACCTCCTGTTTGGGGGCCTGTGGTGGATCCGCGGGATCGACGGGGTCTGCGGGATCGTCGGGATCGCCGCAGCTGTCGTACGAGGGATCGTGGGTGGAGCGGTTTGTTCTTGCGGGGTATAGAGTTGTGGGGTTCGAGGTGCAGACAGCGTTTGGGGCCCGTAGGGGCTGCTGCAGCCGCACCGGTATAGGGTTCAATGATCTGGTTGATGATATATGCACGCTGATGCAGGCCCTTGCAAACTACTCCTCGCTCCCTATCTTTCTTGTGGGTAGCGACGTCGGCGGCAGCGCAGCGCTCAGAGCAGCAGAAACCCTAGCTAAGGATGGCCTCTTGGGGAGACCTGCAGCAGCAGCATCAGCAGCAGGCGCACACAAACAGAAGCAGCAACGAGGCAGAACAGAGAAACGGGAGCAAGTCCAGGAGCAGCAACAGCAGGAACAGGAAAAGCAGCAGCAGCAGCAGCAGCAGCAAGAGAAGGACAAACAGCAAGAGCAGCAGCAACTCCAGCTAGAAGCCCTAGAGGGAGCGACGGCCTCTACGGCGAGCTCTCACCGAGGCTCTCTCGATGGGAAGGGTGCTGCTGCATCGATTGGTGCTGCTGGTGCTGCTACTAGTGTGGGGTGTACGTTGGAGGCGGTGATAGAGGAGGATGAGGAGGAGGTGTCAACCAGCAGCGCAGCAGCAGCAGCAGCAGCAATGGGTGCACATCATCGTATAGTGCGGCAGAAACCAGTGCCTCTGGCGGGGCTTGTTCTTCTCTCTCCTGTGCTGGATGCACCTGAGGCGGTGACGGCTTGCAACGCTTGCTCTGTTCCTACTTTCTTAGAAAGAGTCAAAACGTGGCTGTACCCATGGGGGTCTGCTCCCGCAACAAACAGTGAAGACGAGGCCTTCAACCGCCAGCAGAATCTCCGCAGCATCTGGGATGCTGATCTGGCGCGAGGTGTACATACAGCACAGGAGGAGGTGTTGTGGCTGAGACGGCCTATACTAAGAGACGCTCAGCAACCCTTCAGCATCAGCGACTGGACGAAACTCTTCCACCGCAAGCTCGCGGACAAGGAAAACCAGAGTCTTGTCGATACACCCCAGCAGCAGCAGGAGCAGCAGCAGCAGCTGGAGAAGAGCTTGGAGGAGGTTGCGGGAAAGGGAGAAGGAGCAGAGCGCGGGACGCAGCAGCATCTGTCTGTATTGGTGTTGCAGTCTCTTGATGAGTCTGGTGCATCTCCTCTCCCTTCAGTGCGGCTATTTGAAGGCCTTGGGGGCAGAGCCAAGCTACCTGAGCCCTGGGCCTCTATCCGGCGAGAAGAGCGCCGCAAGGAGCGCGAAGCAAGGCGGCAAGCTGCTGCTGCAGCTGCAGCAGCTGCTGCTGCTGCTGGTGAACAGGGCGTGCAGGCGCTTGGTGAGGCCAGAGAAGAAGGAGAAGAAGAAGACGAAATAAAAGGAGCCCGCAAGCCAAATGCTGCTTTTGAGGCGGAGTTCCTGTCGCGGGCTGCCTCACAAGTAGAGAGACGAGCGAATGAAGAGCTCCGATGCGCAGAGGCAGCAGCAAGGACAGCTGAGCTTGCTGCAGCAGAAGGTAACGGAGAAGCAGAACAAATGATTGAAGCTGCTCTTAAGGCCATCAGTGCAGCCAATAAAACCCTAGAAAGAGCACATACACTAGACAGACTTGCCTCACAGGCCAGCGATCGCCTCGAAGAAGAACGAAAGAGCATCGCTGCAAAATTCAAAGAGTTGCAGACTGACGCAGTACCTGCTGTAGCAGTAACTGCACCAGAAGCTACAACACCAGCTGCAGCAGCAGCAGCAGAGAGCGGAAATGCAGCTCAGCAGGAACAAGAGAAGGCAACCAAACCGATAGAGAAGAAAGAAGAAGAAGAACAGACACTGCAAAAGGGAACAGCCAACGAAGACGGGGCGGCTGCAGCTGAGAGGCAAGCTTACTGCTGCGGCTGCGGCAGTGGTGCACCTGCGGAAAGCAGCATGAAGATTTCGAAGCGAATAAACAAGAACAGAAGAAGAAAGGACAGCAGCGGTAACTTCCTTCTTGCCTGCTGCACATGCAGGCAGCGACAGCCTACGAAGCCGAGGCTTGCTTCTGGCCTGTACATGAAGAGAAAGAGATGGAGCAGAATACCAGGGATGGTGCTTGATGAAGACGGCTGTCTTGTTGAAGTTGAAAACGCGAAACAACTGATGGATGAGGTCCGGGCGAACGGCTTCGAGCCCTTCCCTGAGCTCCCCAAAGGAGCCGTAGAAGATAGCAGCGATGAAGAGGATGAAGAAGATGATTTGCATGAAGACGAACTAAGTGATGGCACAAAAATTTTCTTCTCTCGCATCACCAACACACTTGAAGACGGGGGCCTGCAGCTGTGGCTACTACGCGGCAGTGGGCCTGTGCTAGTAAAGGAACAAGGGGTAGAGGAACTACAGATGGATATCATTTCGAAGTTTATTGAACCTGCTATAGACAGAATCGCGGCAGTGTCACAAGGTCAGAAAGCAGCAGCTTAGGCCGCTTACTGCACCGCTTCTTGGGTTCAGCTTTCTTTCCTATTGAACCCCCGCAGCGAATCTGCACGACAAAGACGGGCAGATATTCTGAGTTGGACGCAACGTGTTGTTAGACAGTGAAACGAGGAGAATTAACGAATTATCTTCGCTTCAAAAAAGAAAAAAGGGAAGAAAAAAAAAAAAAAAAANAAAAAAAAAAAGGAAAAAAAAAAAAAAAAAAAAACGGAGAGCAAGAAACCTCGGAGAGGAACAGTGACAATGCAGAGGATTTTACTTATTTATTTTTGCGATGTTTTTTCTCGATTTTATAGTCTGAAATGACTGAAATATATCTGTTCATTTAAGGTGGTTGGTTGGCGTGATGAAGAAGAAGGTGCAGTTATATGAACATATTTCGTATATATATATATATATATATATATATATATATATATATATATCAGTGGTTCTGATATATACCTGTTTGTTGTTTGAGTGTGTGCGGGGGTCATGATGATTGCAGAAACCTGAGTGATGCTGCATTTGTTTTTCTTTTTCCGGTTGTTTTCCGGGTCTAGAGAATATATGCGGCTTCAGCAGAGTGGATGAAGTGCCTCAACGTTCATAAAAGGCTGCATATATTCCATTCGTGCAGAAATAACAAATTCAACTTTCACTGTAAACGATGTCAGCTAGAAACACGATTGAATTCAACTTGCATCATGAATGACTTCAACTTGTATCATGTATCAGTTCAACCTGCATCATGTATATATTCCACTTGTATCGTGAAGTGAGAGTATGTGTTGTGTGTATAAGACGTGTAAGCAAGTAGAGTATACACTTTGCTTGCTGTGTGCACGTACGTTTGTGTGTATTATTTGTGTGTCTGTCTGTGTCTGTGTTCTTTCATTGACTGTACGCGTCCTCTTACGCCCAACAAACAATGAAATAAACAAATACAATGAGCAATGAACTACCACTTGAGGAGGGGGGGGGGG